CCAAAAATAGGGGAAAAGACGTAAACGCCCCCAAATTGGGGCAAGGGGCCGCCCCCCCGCTGACCCCGCCCTCAAAATGGCGGGTCAGGGGCGGCCCCCAAAATAGTGGGTGGGGGAGGAGGCGCTCTGGCCCCGCCCCTCCCCACAGGCCCCGCCCCGCCTTAGACTCCGCCCCCAAACTGGCAGGGGGCGGGGCCTGCGCTCCAGTGCCGCCCTCACCCCGGTTTCCGTCGCCAACGCCCCGCCTCTTTCTCGCTCCCCATTGGACGGCCGCTGCGTGACGTCAGGCTGTGGGGAGGGGGCAGTTGATGGGGGGAGGAGAGGACGAAAAGGGGGGGGGTCAGGGAGGGATGGTCAAATTATGGGGGCGGGAAGGGATGATTATGGGGGCAGTTAATAGGGACAGGATGGGGGCGGGGGCAGGTGATGGGGCAGATGGAGGGCAAGGGGTCATGGGGCAAATGATGGGGGCAGATAATTTGGGAGGAAGTTTGGAAAGGGAGGGCAGGAGGCCATGGGGGCAGATGATGGGGGGCAGCCGAGGGCTTCCCTGTAACCTCCGAGATTCCTGGGAATAACGATGGAAATTCCGCTTCCCGCGCCGGGGGAGGGCGCAGCGCTGCAGGGAGCGGAGCCGCTTCCCGGYGCTTCCCGGCTCCGGCGCCGCCTCGGAAAGCGGGAATCACCGGCAGCGATGCCGGGGGCTCCGTACCGGCTGCAGCCGCCCCCCCAGGCCTCCCCCTCGCGCATCGGATGCTATTTGCCCCTCTTTTAAGCCAAAATTACATTTTTCTGCTTCAAGAAGCCCATTTTGGTCCTTATTTTCCCTTCTCCTCGTGTGCGGGAGGCCTCTGGCGGGAGCACAAGCTGGAAAAAAGCCCTATTTTGGCTCTGTATTTCCAGCCAGGACTGCCCCGATTGCAAAGATACCTTCTGTAAAGCACTGGAGCAGGGAAGGTTAAATGGGAGCTGAGAAATTTATTGGAAAAGTCTGGTCCTCGGTCACATTCTTCACAAGCCCACAGTGTAGCCAGTACATTGATTGATTGCCAAGTATGTAGAAACAAAAAGACTTAATTGGTTAAAGATTTAAGTGAAACAGAACAAAGATTTAATTAAAAGAAACCCGTGATGTGACACGTAAAAACATGTCCAAAAGCAGCCTCGGTCTGCGGACTCAACAGTGTCATTGCAAAACGATCAATGCGGAAAAAGAGAGGAAAAACAAGCRCGTTGCCATCGGAGCCTTAAGCTCCTTGTTTGGGGGCCTCCCGGAGCCTGGAAAGGCTCCCCGGCAACACCCGGATCTTGTGGAAATGCCACCAAACCGSAGTGCTCTGTGCGGAGCGGCCCCGGAGCAGGGCCGGGGATCCGGAGCATCCCGCCGTAGGGACGAGCGCGTAGGGATTGCGGCAGCTCCGGAGATGCCGGCGGAAAGGAGCCKCCAAAGAGCCGCAGTGGAGGCAGGGGGGGACGTTACAGCCCAGAACGCCCCGATATCTGCTAAACAAACGCGGGTTTGTGGGGAGCAGCACGGGTTGCCCGCGAGGATGAGCTCCGTGTCTCCTCACCRCGCTCTCCTGCACCCACCTCGTCCGTAAAATCCCGAGGAACCGCATGGGAATGGGAAGACACTGCGGCTGCTCAGCTGGCCGCATTGGCCATTTGCCCAGAGTAGGAAAAATAATTGATGCGTGGCGAACTGGATCTATCATCAGGCGGGAGAAGTTTGAATCTAAATCAGTAACATCGACGAATCCCTCTCCCGATCAGATGAAATTGCTAAAATTATTAAAATTTCAAAAGTACCTAAAAAGCAAGAGTGTGACCCTGCTGCCAGCGGTGCCCAGAGGCGGTTTGGACCCAGGTCTTCGCTCCTGTGGGCATCTCGGTGGGTGCTGAGACGCGCAGGCTCTGCGGGTCCTGCTCAGTGCTCCTGTTCCGTTTCCTCTYGTGATCCTGCCTGGAAGAAATCCCGGCTTCTCCCTGCGAGCCGCGGCCGTGGGCGGTTCCGTGCTGGCCACGAGTGATGGGAATCGTTTTCTGCAGCGCTTTCCATTAAAACCCAATCTGCTCTTAGGGCTGCTGCCGGCGTCATCTGGTCACCAGGGCGTCTGTGTCGACGTTGTTGAGGAGGAAGAGCTCGGGGTGAGCGGCGAGGCCCAGGTGACACTGCAAGAGGCAGAGAGGAGGGTCAGGGGGGACGGCAGCCGCCAGGCCCGCGCTGGGGATGGGGACACGGGGTGCAGGGTGTCCCCATGCTGGGGATGAGGACACGGGGTGCAGGGTGTCCCCACATTGCGGACGAGGACACAGGGTGCAGGGTGTC